ATATGTTGACTACTCCCCGTAAGGGAGCCAACTCTGTCTCTTGGCTTATCTCGGCTTTTTCTGCGCCGCTAGTATTTTGTTGGGAACCCGGGTGTGGGTCAGTGCGAGCTCCCGAACCATGGCCTCTGCCTCGTCCCCGACCGTCGTAGCCGCCTTGGTTACCCTGCTATCGCTGGACGTACTGGCCGAGGTGGCCTGCCTGAATGAGTTCTTCGCTGAGTGTGCGATACTCCTCCGTGGTGTGACCATGGTTCCTGTGGTATCGGCAGTGCTTGGACTTGTCGGCGCTGTTGGGAGTGTGGCCTGGTGGTGGAAGGGCGAGCAGGTTGCTATTGCTGGCTTCCTCCAGGATGTGGACTCTAGGTGCGTTTAGGGGAGTGTAGAAGTCGTATCTCCCTCCTCTGTTTGCCCTAGTTGACTTCTTGAACTGGTTGTCGTTGTTGACTTTTATTTTGTCCTTATGCCCTTGTTCTGACTTTGCTGGACCTTTTCCGCGAACCTGGTCACGGAAAGCGGAGTGTTCCTCCATCTGGATGTACCCGGCCGCGCGAGCGCGGAGCTCGTCGACGAAGGGGCCAACTTTTAGGGCCATGAGCATGGAGTGCAGGATGACCTCAGGGTTCAAGTTCCGGATCCGCACCGAGATGCTGGAGAAGCGTTCCATGAAGGTTCGTAGAGGTTCATCGTCATTCTGCCTGAGGTTGGCCAAAGCGGTCGAGGTTGTGTGATGAGGTCAGCTTGTGGCGTATTGCGCCATGAATTGCCGGACCAGGGTGCTGAAACTGTCGATGGACACGGCGGGTAGCTGGGTGTACCAGTGGAGTGCGGCTCCTTTGAGCGAGGTCGGAAAAACCCTACACAGGATAACATCACTATTAGTGTAGAGGTTTACCTGGGTTGTGTACAGGTCAATGTGCTCATCGGGGTCCGTCGTGCTGTCATAGCGGTCGAGATGGAGAGGTTTCCATCCACGAGGGAGTGGGGTCTCCATGATGCCGTCCACAAAAGGATGTCGGCGGAAGGTTTCTTGGCCTTCTATGGCATGAGTGGGTGCTCTGCTGGAGTCTGGGCCCGACTTGTGCGTCGATGCATGAGATCGGTGCGTGGCGGGTCGTGAAGTCGGTGCCCTAGTCGCAGTCCGGGATTGAGAGACTGAGTGCTCCTCCTCTCCATTATGGTTGCTCGTATGAGGAGGATGATCGGAGTGGTGTCGAGGGAGTTGAGCGCGGATTCGCTCGTTCTCGGCGCGTAGCGCCGCCAGGTCGGCCTCATTAGCGGTACGCATTGCCGCTAGGTCAGTGTCGTGCTTGGCACGCATGTTTTGTAGGTCGGCGGCATGTTGCTGCCGCATCTGTTCGACCTGATCGATTAGTCTCCTCAACGCTGCTTCGTTATCCATGGTGGTTGAGTGGTTTGCGTCGTCTGTTGTGCGTCTACTATGGCTTCTGGTGAAAACCATAAGCGTGGCCGATAAGAGCTGTCTTGATCGGCCCCACGGTGGGCGCCAAATGTTCTTACCGGAAATCTGCTGTGCATCTACTATGGCTTTTGGTGAAAACCATAAGCGTGGCCGATAAGAGCTGTCTTGATCGGCCCCACGGTGGGCGCCAAATGTTCTTACCAGAAATCTGCTGTAGAGCTGATCCGCTAGGTAAGATCGGTGAGCCTCCTTCATGGGTACGCTGGTGCTCCAAGATGGGGGTGGTACCTGCAAAAGAGACTCCGATGCTAAAGTTAGTGTTTGTGGGAGTATGAATCTCGTATATGTAATACACGTACCTTAGTGTGAATTAGGGTTGTTTTAGGCCTTGGGCCTGAGATAAGATATGATAGGATTAAATGATGGATCCCTTCTGAAGCGAGATCGCTCAAGATCGGTTACAATCTGCTTAAATGCCGAGCTGACGTCGCGTAGCACGTGCCCGACCTTGTTTTGTGCAGTGATGCCGAGCTCGGAGCTCGGCTTCGCGGTACAAACAGTACAAGTATCAATGCATGGAATTCAAAGGAATTGATATTGTTATAAAGGAATAGCTATAGTGATTGTAGAATTCATTATCAATACTCACGATCACGCCAACAACTTGACAAGAAAGAATTAGAACAACTAGAGGAGGACAAAGAATGATGAGCTCAGGGAGGAGAGAGAAGAATTAGAGGGAATTGGCCATACCATATGCATATCGTCTCATTCTCCAAAGCCTTCCAATAAAGTATTCCTCCTTCTCAGCCTAGTGCTTCTTCTCGTGTACCTTTCTCTCAGATCATTTGACACATGTTTCCTTGGTATTAAAAAATTTCCCATTTTTTCCACGTCATTTGACTGCTCAGTTTCATTTTCTCTTACCATGTTATTTTGGCTCCATGTTACAGGAGATGTCTAGAGACAAGTATGGATTAAAGTAACAAGTTTTCTCTAGAAAGATCTCATTTTTGACATCATCAAAGAGCTCTATGTAATTAAGGTTAGTTATTAGAAATTTTTGTAGTGAGTAACCATTTTTACACGTGTGTGACTCATAAGTGTTTGTCATAATTATTTTTCTTTAAATACTCAAAGTAGGGCCATTTGTAGAGGTTAGAAAATATTTTACACAAACTCTCTATGTATCAATCTATCTATTCTTACCAATGGCTTCTAATTTTGAGAATTTTGTGTATGTTCTCTATATCACTTTTCTTTTCTTTTAATAAATTTGTAGTTATTTTCTTTATTATTACTTCTCTTCTTATTTAGTGAATTCTAATGTGATTTTCTCAATTGATTTAATCATAAAACACTTAATCACTATCAAAATTAATGTTATTGAACAAGTTTGTATTATAGTAATAAATTTGAGTATAAAGGTCATACTTTATCATTGATTTCATCTTTTTGAGAAACATATTTAAATTGAAAGTCCACTTGGTTGCTGGTTCAAATAAAAACAATTCATTAAACAAATCTCACCAAAAACACTCACATACCCTTAAAAAATCAATGAAACTCTTAGATACAATGTAAAAATAAAAACAAGAAGAGAAGAGAGCCAATTACAAAACAAAACAACTTATATGGTGGGAATGCAAATGTATATATGTTCTGCATTTTTTTTAGTATGTTTACAATCAGAGACAGATCCATGTAGAGGAGAGTGGGGCACATGCCCCCACTACCATTTTACACACATATATTTTTCTTATCCAAAAACATAATATGTTTTTAAAAATAAAAGTTATATTCTAATAAAATATATATATATATATATATATATATATATTTAAATTATCATATGTATAAAATAAATTTAAAAGAGTTGTTTATTTATTTAATATTTATCAAACTTTCAAAAGAGATTAGTTCTCATATGTGATAAAGAATATTCATTAATAATGAATTAATTTTTTAAAAAGTTTCATTTTTGATAAAATAAAATTTGTAGCATATATATTTACCTTTTGTACTTTCTATTTATGTATACATTGATTAAAAAAATTAAAATAGTAAAGATTGTAAGATTGTATACGTTGATTAAAAAAATCAAAATGGAAAAGATTGGAATATTTATATTCTATTTAGAATTTTTATTATATAATATGTTTTGAAATAAATTATCATCTAAAATATTATATTAGATATTAAAAACATGTTTATATTATAAATAAATTAAACTTGATCTTTATACAATTTAACATATTTATTTTTATATTTTTATTAGTATTAAATTATTATAAAGTATATTTTTAGGATTATAGTTCTAACCAAATATTTAAAAAATGTCTATGATAGATAAATAAGTCATATTTATGACATATATTTATAAAAAAAAAAATTAAGTTCAAATCTACTAAATTATAATATAACATAGTTTAACTTAACTTATTTTCATTATTAATCGTAATCATAGATATAAAAGCTTGTCAAGAATAATTATGATATATATTTATACTTTTAAAAGTTATATGTAAAAATTTTAATATTATAAATATATAAATAATTATTGTCCCCACTATTTAAAATTTCTAGATCATTATATTTTTAAAAAATACAAAATTACAAAAAAAAATACAATCATAATTAACTTAGTTTAACCCCTCCTCAAAATCATGGATTATCACCCACTTTTAGCAATTATATACCGACTAAACAAATTGTATATCAATGAAATATAAAACAATATATTTAGCGGATTTTGCATTCAATACATATTTAAAAAAATCTCAAATCCAACAATAATGCTATGTGGATCGGGCAAAGCCCTGTCCATAAGATATTGTTAAATTAATATTATTCCAACATATTATCTACTGCATATATTAATCAGATTTTAAATTTTATTTTTGCGATTTTGAGATATATTGGTCTGACGCCTGTGTCTTAGAAGCCCAAATATAAAAGTAAACTCAAGTTCGTGAACCTATGCGTTTAATCGGGATCCTAAATCATATAATCTTGCTTTTGGCACCAAATGTTGGAGTAAAATTAATTAAAAGTGTGAGAGTAATCATGAGGTCTTTGTGGGAAATCGAAAATTTGAAAATTGAAACCTTTTCTTTTTCTCCGTAGATTCTAGTTCTTGTAACGTTGAATATAAACGGGGTAAGTCAAACGTGTCTAGTCATGTATAACGTGCCTTCCTTTCAAAAGCATGCTATAGATTAATTAAGGTCTATGCTTATATTATCATATTATTATACTAACCAAGTGTTCTGAGTCTATAACGATGGGATCAATAAATTAGTGGGTAGTAATGCATCTTTAAATGAATCAATGATGGCTGAATTGGCACTTCCAAATCATGGTTAAACTTAAACCATCCAATCATGTAATATTTTGTCAGAAACATAATCGGCTAACTTTAGTTTTGGAAACATTGGCCCATATGTTGTAATTTGGGTCTCTAAGTTTAAAGGCCTTTTAATTTTCACTATGGAAAAGGTCATGTTCATGTGTATGGTATGCCTAACATTAGAGCCATTGAGTGCTACTAGTGGGGGACATAGCATGTTACAGCGAACACAATTAGTGTTATTGGACCCCATGAACAACAAGAATGCTTTAGTTTCATTTTTCAGCACGCTTAATCCCCTCTTCCCCCCACCCCTTTTAATTTCTTTTGCCATTTTGCTTTATTTCACCATGAAGTGTCATCATCATTCCACGCTCAAGAATCATTTCTTCTTACCCTTTTCTTTTTTCGCAAACACCACATTCACAGGTAGATATTAGGTTCAATAATTTTTATTTTTCTTGGTTATGGTCATTGAATTTTTTACTGTGCCACTAATTGCATCACTACAAGAGGCAGTTTTTTGACAGGAACAGAATGTGTGAGTTCTGTTGAGGGAACATCTCCAAGAAGCAGAACAAGTACTTTTCTTTACCCTTTTCCATTTCCTTGATCTGGTGTGTACTACTACTATTACCCTTACCCTTCTCATCTATTACCTCTTCAAGCTTTCTTCTTTAAGACTCATTCAATAGGAAGGGGAAAAAAATCATGATTTATCCAATGGTTTTTCCTTAGTGAAAAAATAAAATATCAATCCTTTCTTTTTGATGTTGTAGCTAGACAATGCCAGGAAAAGGAGTTCTGCTTTACACATTGTTAGTGTTATAATCAAGGTTATAGAAAAACAATCCATGACTGCAATTACAACCGCAATGTCAAGATTTCTAGAGTTTCTGCAACCGCAATTGTAGCAGCATTTATCTTCAATAACACGATCCAACCGCAATTTAAAACCTGGGTTATAATCTTGTCTCTTTGTCTCATGGGCTCTGCTTTTGGTCTGATTTTGATGATATTTTCCTGGGTGTCATTTGCATTTCCGGGATCTGATGCTCAGAGTGTGAAATCAGCTCATGTTCTTGACCTTATCATAAGAGATCAAACATTCAAGACATTGGACAAGAGCTTGAAGACAGCAATACCACAATCGGTGAACTTACCAGCAAATCTTTCAGGCATTGGAGTTGATGCAGTGAGGTTTAGATGTGGCAGTTTGAGAAGGTATGGTGCACACTTAAAGGAATTCCATCTAGGTACCGGTGTGACTGTGCATCCATGTATTGAGAGGGTCATGTTGATCAGACAAAACATGGGGTACAATTGGTCCTCTATATATTATGCTAACTATGATCTATCAGGGTACCAGCTTGTGTCTCCAATTTTGGGACTCCTAGCTTACAATGCTGATGATGATGCAAACTCAAGCAACCCTTTCCAACTTGGGATTGTGGCTGGAGAGAAGCCAATGACAATTGATTTCACCAATGCCACAAAGTTGAACAAGGAAGATGGGGTGAAGCCCTTGTGTGCAAGTTTTGAAGGTGATGGAAGAATGACACTCGCAAAAGCAAATCCTTCAACACCACTTGTTTGTGTTGCAAAGAGGCATGGCCATTTTGGTTTGGTTGTGGAGTCCCCACCAGATCAGTTCAGGAACAAGCCCATAAGTAGGTGGAAAGTGGCTGTTGGGAGTACAATTGGTGCTGCTCTTGGTGCTTTTCTTTTGGGATTGCTTCTTGTGGCAATGCTTGTTAGGGTGAAGAAGAGATCAAGAATGGTGGAGATGGAGAGGAGGGCCTATGAAGAAGAAGCCCTTCAGGTATCAATGGTTGGACATGTGAGGGCTCCTACTGCACTTGGCACTAGAACCACACCCATCATTGAGCATGAGTATATACCTCATCACCCTCGTTGAATGGTTTCATTGTGTTGCTGATCAATCAATTTTGTAACATTGTAAGATGACATTCAATCAAATTTGTTATAGGCCAAAACTATGACAAGTTCTGTTATGCTGCTGTTCAATCAATTTTGTAACATTAAGATTATCCCTTTCAATCAAATTTATCATAGGCCAAAATTGTGAAAGTTTCATTATGTTGCTGATCAATCAATTTTGTAACATTAAGATGACATTAAAATCTAATTTATCATGGACCAAGTTTCATTATGTTGCTGATCAATCAATTTTGTAACATTAGGAAGACATTCAACTAAATTTATCATAGGCCAAACTATGCAATGTTTCATTATGTGTCTGATAGACAATTTTGTAACATTAAGATGACATTCAGTTAAATTTATCATAGGCCAAAACTAAATATTAATTTAATCATACGATTCTCATAGTATTATTATTATCAGATAAAATTGGGTATATGCCTCCATATCGTATTGTTATTGAATGTATGGCACTAGTTTTCACATTGTTGAGTTTAATCAGCATGTATATAAGAATCATATTTAAAGAGGATAAAAGAAAAAAAAAAAAAAAACAGGAGCTTTTTGTCCCTTACCGTGTCAGAAGTAATTGTGCCTCTGAGTTGCTTGAAGCCACAGTGATAGACATGAACAATTATTATGTTGTTCGAAAGTCAAAAGAAGTCAATCTATGAGCCTAGCATCTATATGGCAGAACAGCATAACGAATTCTTATAAATGAAGTTTACGGTGCCGTTTGACCATTGAGCAACAAATGCGTGTTTTTACTTTTGACTACCATTGATCAAAATATAAAATTTATTGAAATAATTATATAATATGGTGTTAGCTCTCACGTTCTCACTAGTGTTAACTTAGTGACTGAAGATTTGAAAAGGTTGTATGAGGTTTTAATTTCAGATTTCATTATACCTGGAAAAGTTTGTATGAGGTTTTAGTTTCAGATTTCATTATACCTGTAGCAGTAGGAAAAGGACCCTTTGTACTTCTCCAATTTAAAAAATTAAAAATAAAATAAAATGGGTTAAGGTGGATTATATGGACAAAATAGTCCAAGACAAAGTATACACTATAAAAGGATATTCCTATTAGTACGTATAGACCAATCCATGCATTTTGTTTGAAAATAAAATAAAATAATTAAGTTCTTGAGTATTTTTTTTAATGAAAAACGACTTAACTCATCGTTAATAATATATATGGAATAATACAGTATGAAACACAAGTAAAGTCTATACAATCGACTTGAAATTTAGGTGTCTTAGTTACATAATTAGTCACTAAATTTGCTTGTCTAAATACAAAATTGACACTCTAGTTTTACAAGTTATTCAAGATGGCTCTACATTTACTTGTAACATCTTTGAATTCAAACCAAGTATTTTTGGTCTTGTGGTTATAATATTTGTCCTAAGATACAAAGAATTGACATGGTTTCATATTCAATTTTCGTCTGTATTAAAATAATATTTGATTAGTGATCACATTCTCGTGAGTGCATAATAGTTTTTAGTTGTCAATTTTGATCAGTGAAAATCACGTTCTGTGAATACAGATTAATCCTTAATTATCAACTTTGGTCATCAGAAGTCAGGTCTCATGAACATAGATTAGTCTTTAGTTGTCAACTTTAAAATATTATGTGAACCATATTCATCTCGAACATAGATTAGTCCTTAATTATCAACTTTGAAAGTATGTGACCATATTCATAGATAAGTGACAATAATTAATACTTTGGACTACTCTGAATCAGTCCATTTCAAACGTAACTGTTTCAATTCCTAACTCTCCTATCCATTTGACTGCTTCCAAAAGTGTCATTGCTTCCCCCATGTGAGCTTCAAGTAGGAAAGGAAAATTGCACGTTCTGCTTGAGTCCATTCAGCCATATAGTTCTTTGCTTCAAATAGTATCTTAAGATCTTATCTGTATTCCATCTGGCTCCTTCCCATAGTAGCTTGTTCCTGCATGACCACATGCTCCAAGTGAGTATTGCAGAGTCTGCGGCTTTCCTTAAGTCCCATTTTTGGGTTACCTCCATAATAAGATCCTTCGCACTTTCCATCTCTATAAGCAGCGGCTCAATGCATGCTCCCCTAGTATATTTTGAGATATTATAAAACGTTAATTTATTCGAGAAACTATTTTGAATTTAAATTTAAAATAATTATTTTATTAATTTCATAATTTAAAATCTAATTAATATCAATTTTAATGAAATATAATAATATGACTGTTGTAATTTTAATTATCAAATGTTTTAAATTAAATTATTTTTTATTCTTGTGATTAATTATAGTCACAATGATCAATAATCATTTTTCTATAAATATTGAGAATCAGCATAAGTCTAGGGACTAAATATTACTTTCTTATCTCTTATCTCTTTTCAAAGTTAAGAACTTGTCGATTTTGCATCTTTAATTTAGTACTGAAAAAATCTTGTTGAATCTTAAAAACTTGAGTGAGAGTTTGCGGATAAAATTAAGTCCTTTAAGATAGTACATTGCACACTTTAGAAGTTTAGATCAATTCGTGTATTTAACATCCATGGTAAACAATTTAAAGAACTTATAGTTGTCTATGAAAATTCTTGATGAATGTGAGGAGTTCAGATTAACTTGTATATTCAACATCCATGGTCAACAATCTAAAGGACTTATAGTTGTCTATGAAAATCCTTGATGAATGTGAGAGCTAAGGATGAAGCTACGAAGGAGAATGCAATGTGTGCACATTGTTGTGGCTATCACATGAGGATGAGAACAATGTGTCAATTGGATAGACCATTAATTGTGTTTTGTTTGCATCTTGGAATCAATCAACTTTTGCAAGTGAGTTACGACTTTGATCTTGTCAAATGCTAATTTCCAAAAAAATTTAATTAGAGTATATTTTTGGAAGGTCAACATTGATGACTTAAGAAGTTTAATTATACATTAAGTTAAATGTTTTTTTAGGAGAATTAAATATTTATTTATTTTGGTGAAAGTTTGCGGTAAAGAGGTGGAGAGAATAATTGTGAGGCATCATTTAGAGAAGAATGTTGTATGCAATTAATATTATTTTTGAAAATTTATCTAGTGAGAAAAATTAATTATCAATACTGGTTCTAATGAATGAGAAACTCATACAACATTTGTTATCTATGACAACAATAAAAAAACGTTGTTGAAAGCCAAAAAACCGTTCCTAAAAGTTTAAGGAACGGTTTGGCAACGGTTTTTCAAGCGTGGATTTATCAACCGTTGCCTATTTCAATATGCAACGGTTTTTTGGCCTGTGCCCACGATGTCAAAAAAACCGTTACCTAAACTTTCAAGAACGGTTTTCATGATCTTCAGTGGCAACGGTTTTTTTTTTAATTTAAGGCAACACTATTAATTTTTAAAGAACGGTTTTAGAAATGTAGTCTATTTTTATAGGCAACACTTTTATGACCGTTGCTAGTGACATCAGGGAACATTTTTTTAAGGTTGTCAATGAGATAATATAGGTAACAATTTAGACTAAATTTAAGCTACAATTTTGTAAATAGTGTCTAAATAAACGCCCAACGTTGTCTAAATTTAACATTTTTTTAATGTTGTCTAAAATATTGTCTAAATTTTACTTTATCGTGTGAAATCATATATATGTAATACGCACATATAATTATAATACAAATAGTATATTAAACAACTCATATTAATAAGAAGAACTATACATTATTTTGGATTGATAATCCTCTTGTACATCCTCTTCTTCAAGAAGACATTTCTCATGTGCTCAATAAAGAATTGATTTCACCCTCAAAAAATAATAAAACAAATTATAAGGCTAGTCATCCATCCATGTAAGTAACATCATTCAGTCTCTTTATCATCATAAGGTTGATCTTCATTATCAAGTCTTTCCAGCACATAAATATATTTTTTCACTTAGAAAACTTATAGAACAGACAAGCAAATTATTAAAGATATTATATAACAAACCATAATGATACACGGATTAATAACTATATTTTGAACACTCTGCTTTGTCCATCTGTGTCTGCTGCAGCTTAACCTTGCTTCAGTTACTAAGTCAACTGGGCATCACTGACGATGGAGCAGGTTATGGACTCGTAACTTCTAGTCTAGCTCCTGTTCTTGCATTTCTCCACGGCTCTTGGTACTGGGGCACAATAAACAAGTTTAATTTCTTTTCAGATGTGTTTATTTCAATAATTAAAATTTGAACCTTTCTATAGAACATCCGTGTTAATTAATCAACTGATGGTGCATATGATTTAATGGAAGGATTAATTATATATACTTGGAATCATGACTAATAATTAAATGTAGTGTTTTTTTAAGTAAAAAGTAAAAGTACGCAAGTAAATTAAGATACTAACCCCCAATAGCTTCCTTTCCTTTCATGATACGTAAGCGCTTGCATGATTCAACAAACATCCTGGTTTACATAGAATCAATATTGATATTATTAATTACATAATAATTGAGCAGAACTATAAATATATTCGAGGCTATTTCGAAAAAAAGTTATGGTTTATCAATGCTATATATGTGCGTGTTCAATGTCAAAAACTTAACACTAATTGGTACAGCATAATAAAAGGATATACTTATTCTGATGGACATCTCATAGCTTATCAAACAATGTGAACTTTTATTATGAACACATAATCAAAGTTAGATTCTTGTCATATTATTGAAGTACTAAATTTAGAAAATAAAATAATAAATTCACAAAAAAGTGCATGTTAGTTACCTTCAGCTACTTTGCAACATCTCTAGCAGATGAACCAGAGACTTCAATCCAAGTTTTAGAGAACAAGGCACAGGTAGACAACATAAACACAAGGTAGAATAATGCATGGAAAGGATTGGCTGCCATATCAGCTAAGCTGCAAAAACAAAAGTGCCAAAAAT